TTCTATCTTCATTCCTGCTATTTAAATATTGGGTAGGTATATCTATTACCTACACTTGTTTGAGATCATTCCAATATTTTTAAATAAGTTTTGGTGTAAAATTAAACAAAACATTATTTTTGAGGTCGAATATAAATATATACTTACCTAGAAAAATATTGTAAATTTAACGAATGTAATTATGTATTTATAGTAACATTAGCACTTCAGTATAGTAAATAGTTATATTATATTTATCGCATTCGTCTTAGTATACAGGTAGGTAACGATAAATAATTATGTACAAAGGTTGGTGTTAATATAGGTATACTGTAATTGTACTTACTTAAGCACATAAAAATATTATCAATCAAAATGTTTTCATTTTACAAATTCTTAAAATAGTGTTTTATATTTCAATAGTTACAGCGATATTTTCTTAAATTAAATAATAAGTGATAGCCCGTTTAAGTGCAAAAAAAATTGTGACTTAATATAGGTAATAATAGATAATTATTTTATTAGCTTCGTCGCTAACATGTTTTATAGCGATTTTAACTCATAATTAAAAAAAAATAAGTTTGTGTTGAGCCAAATGTCAACAAAATAATAATGCGTGCATCTGCCGATGATTGATTCTTTATTTTTTTATTTATTGTTCAGTAGATACCTGTAAGTATTATCGATGACAATTTGGCTCAGTTCTTAAAATAAGTGATCTCATAATGCAACACGCCTGGCGCTCGTGCTTCACAAATCTATAATAGCTATAGTTTATAAATCGTTGAAAAATATTTTTAAATTCTCTTAGTGACCACACTTATCAGAGAAATATGTTTGTGGGTCGACTACTTGGATTGTTTCCATGTATTGTTTTTCAAATATGTTTGTTGTCCATCACTCCATTGTGCCCTAGTCCTAAACGGCTAAACATACAATTCAGCTTTTACAACCCAAAATGTTTTATACCCCATTATTGGCTATATTTAAAATAATAATATATACACGCATATATTACTATAATATTAATTTTAGTATTTATTTATTTATTTAGTATTCAGTCGTCACACAACACTCACCATTATTATTGATGGCCAATCAGGACCGTATTTGAACATTTTTTACTCAAGTTTTTAGGCAACTTGCTCCCTCCCCCAAAAACAAATTTATTTCTTAAAATGCAAGGGTTAGCTACTCTTTTATGGCAGTTTAGTACTTCAGCGATTTTTGAAAAAAAATTTTCTGATACATGTATTTCAATGCGTTCAGAACAATGGCGGAATTTGTCAGTCGGACTTATAGTTTCAGTTATACATTTATATAACTTTTGAAGTCCTCTAGTTTGTGTAGGTATTCCCACCCATTGGGTTTTTTTTTATAATTTTTTATTAAATTATTTTATCAGGTAACAACAAAACAAAAAGCAAGTAGGTACGTTAGTTAATTTTTGATTCCAATAAAAATCATATATTTACAACAACAAAATTTAAATGTAATTTTTTGTAATTTAAAACTTAAAAATACGATTTGGGAGTTTTGAAGTTTTTTGACCATAACTTCCAAAGTAAATATAATATTTTTCGGTGAACTAAAACTTGAAAAATATTTTATTTTGGCCATCTACCAATACTAGGTACCTAGACGGTCTATATACGAATTCGGAAATTGTGTAATAATATATTGTATACAGTGTGATCACGATAAGCGGAAACACTCAATAATTTAGAATATACCTACTCAATATATCTTTAATGAGTGCAAATGAGTGCGATGACAAAATTAATAAGCAAAATAAAATAATTAGACTATTTTTGTGACAGATAAATTTTAACATTATTTGCAATATCTTATGATTATGAATACAGAATAATAACTATTTACCGTGTAGGTAGTAGGTACTAGGAAGCATAATACTCTTAAATCTTAATGAATACGTAATAATAAAATAAAAATACCTAACGAATTTATCGAATACTTGTTTACTTATTATGATGGTATCTTCGTTTATGCTATCTCAGTAATTGCATCAAAAATAGCATCATTATTGTTGGCATTAAAATGTTTATAATGAATTTGCCACAGTCGATATTATTCTGTATCCGCAGTGTTATTTGTTAGAAAAGAGATCGCGCATAGTTTTTAAATCAGATTTAATAATTATTACCATGGATAGTTCAGAAAGTTGACATGCTTTTTAAGTACCTATTGGGAACGTCAAACAAATTGACATCTTGCCAAAGAAACTTATGCTCATCTTTATCCGTGTAAGTATAATAGAAGCTAATATTTATTTTATTCTCTTTAAGTTTGTCATCAAATGAATCCCATTTTTTATTTGTAAAACTAAATAGACAATGAATCTAGGTCAAAATATCCAATTTTAAACGTTTTTGTAAATAAACACAAACATTTTGAAAGGTTGGTATACTCAAATAATAATTTAAAAAATTAAGTTATAATGTAAAATAATTCAATTGCGTAGATAATAGATGAGTAAATAAGTATATTAGTACATACCACTATATTTTCTTATAAAAACTATCTCAATTTTTTTTAAGAAAATATATAGATGTACACAGAATTTGAGAGTTGATTTTGTTCATGTAGTGGCTAGATTTTTTGAATACACTAAAGCCCGGGTTTTCAACTGGCATAATAACTGCCGGTCTATAGAATAGTAACAGTATTGAAATTATGAAGAAAAAATAAACATGAAACGTATTAAAGTGAAGTACGTACCTACTGTTATCACTATCGTCTATCAATGATAATTATTGAATTAAATAACAGTTAAAAAGTTAATCGGAAGAAATATTAGTGGTTAGTTAAACCTGCTGGTCAGTAGGTTTTAACTTTTAAGAATTAGGGTTCCAATGACTAGGTCAATGTATAATGTATTAACTGACGTCTGACAGTTACAGTCAATAGAATAACCATGGCAATAGAAAAGAATCTAGGAACAGTAGAAACTAATCCGGTTTCTAAATTTCCCCTCAACCACTCCTGGGTTAACTTTTTAATTTTTGTTGAAAGCTATACTATTATTAAATATTAATAATAATAATAAAAAACTACAATATATTATATATTACCAAAGCTCACCAACCTCAGCTCACGGATCGACGTGCTGTTAATACACACGTCACACACGCATGATAAATATGCGATATTATTATTGCTATTAACTTAATTTATTTTACAGCGTATCTTGATTGAGTTTATTTTATAACTTAATATTTGAGCCAATTTTATTAAAAAGTCAGGTGTTATTGTGTTACCTACTTTTTGACTTCATTGAACTATTTTGTTGTTTTTAAAAATATTTCGTGTTTATTTATAACAACGTTTTTCTACATTTTTAAATTTGGATATCTTGAACGATTGCCATAGACAACACTCTCCACATAGTTTTTCGTACAAACCGGTTAAAAATTTAAAAAAAACATAAAATGCATGCTTATATCAGTTATATCGAGCTGATCTAGTTCAACATTTGCTTCAAGAAGATACCGAATGTAGAATTACGTTCATCTAGTGGTTAGAAACCCTATACGGTAGGTGAAATGAATTTTTGATAAATGAGCTCCCAGCTATGTTAGATGACCTTCCATAAGGGTAAATTTAATATTTAAATAAGATGGGGCCCCAAATATTGTTCGCAACTACCTCAATGAACATTTTCCAAATCGGTGGATGGGGATACGAGCAGTTCAGTGGCCACCAAGATCACCAGATCTAACATCATTGGACTATCTCCTCTGGGGTCATTTAAAAGCGGTAGTGTAAATTAATCCACCGACGTGACTTCTTGGTTTAAAAAATAAAGTAGCTGTAGTATGTAATCAAGTTACCATGGAATAAATTAATATACTTGCTACTAATATTGAATTTTTAAAAAGTGTACAATGTTGTTTAAAGCACTATGGCGCCCAGTTCGAATAGTTTTTAAGATTAATAAAGATTTAACAAATACAAATATCGATATTCATTAATTTGTTGCAAAAAAGTAATAACTAACCATAAAATACCGCGACTGCTATAACTTGGCATTTTTTAATTTAAAAAAGAAATTCAATTATTGAAATCCATTAAAAAATGACTCATGGTTAAAAAAGGGTAATGCCATTTAAAAAAAAGGTTGCTGTGCGCATGAGCAAATTCAACTATCGCAAAAATAGTTTAAGATTTTAAAATATGTATAATTATGTTTAAAAGTTAGCCAAAAAAACTTTAGTTTAATTAGTAGTATACTGGGTTATATTAGGGAACAGTGAGAACAGAAATACAGTTGTGATAATTCAGTGATTCATTTGTGCTTAGTTGTTTCAATTTTTATATGGTAAATCTACAATATCGTCTATTCAATTTACCTTCCACATATTTCAAATAAATTGCAAGGTTACTTGTACAGTAGAGTATTTACAGGGGGAAAATCTCTTTGTTGTTGTTGTTGTTATTTGCATGAATAATTGCAATATAGATTTTTTTCTTATTGAAGATATTTACATTTGTATTAATTGTATTGAATATTGCTTATTTAAAAAAAAAAGTGGAAAACTTTTTATAATTAATTTGGGCTATTACTTTTGTATAATTTAAAATGAAAAGCAAATTAAACTTTAGTAAAATATGTAAATTACATCAAATTTGAATGGTAAAATTTTTGAAGTGTTGCTAAAAAATGTTTTCAACATTCAAGTATTTATCGAAGGCTACTCCGCCATAACTTTAAAATTCTGGCTACACTACTGTGTGTACACAATCCTGTAAAAACTTGTAATATACAATATTGAGCTTGCCTAAATTACATTTTGGCACTATGATTATGAATGAGATGCTGATACTAATTCTTTTATAATACATAAAAACAAAATACATAATCATAATATTTATATTATAATTTATAAGTAAAAAAAAATCATCAGTACATCACTCTTTAACATTAGAAAATAATAAATTAGTATTCTTGACATGAGGAAAAAAAGTAAACTAATAGCCACTAACACGAAAACATATAAATATATTAATGAATTGTAAAATTTAATTTTTAATTATTTGTATCATCATTAGACAATGCACGAGCTCTAACTAAATCCAACCGTCCTGCTTTAATCATATCATTTTCCCACTTAAGAAGTGCATTTTTATAATTATCATTATCTACAGCAGCTGCTTCAATATATTTTGTTTTTGTATTTTCATCTAATTCTTTCCATTTATTAGCAACTGTTACCATATAAGTTTGAACTGGCTCATTTCCATGATTTTTTATTTCTTCAGTTACAAACTTCAAATATGCAGTAAGAGGTTTACGGGGTTTACCTAATTCTTTTAATTCCTGAAATAAATTTATAATATTAAAATAAGCGAATTAATTTTAATTTTTTCACTTACTTTTTTGAGTTTACGTTTTGTTCTTTGTTCTATCTGCTCATATTTGACTCGAAACAATTCATTTTTTTGGTCAACAGTTAAGCTTTGATTAAAAACTTTTACATTATCTTTGTATTGTTCAAGTTCTTTGTTATAAATGTCCGTCATTTTTTTCTTAGTATCACCATCAAAGTCCTTCCATGACTCACTTAGGAAACGGACGGCATCTAAAATGTGGGTATATATATAAATTGGGTGTGGGAAATCGTTATCATTTTGGTTTTATTGGTAATCGATTATAATTTGTTAACTTAAGACAATGTAAAAGTTACGATAGATGTACCACAAGGTATCATATATCACCAATGCTTATCTAAAATTTTTATCAATTTTATATCAACATTATTTTCTATATTACTCTTATTTGTAGAAATACACATTTTTTAAATAGCAGACAAAATGTCAGTGACTGAGAGTATCTAGTATTTAAATGTCTCACTATACTAGGGAGCATTCAATAATATTAATAATAAATTACCTAGGTTAAGCTTGTTAATTGGTACGAAATGTTTGGGCTCTCCTTTAACTTAAATACATATAAGACTATAATATTTTTCACAGTATATGTAATAAAATTAGTTATTATTAGTTAATCAGAGACAAATGTTAATAAGTAGTGCAAGTAGAATACATGGGATTTAGATTGGCTGTATCATGCAAATTGCGATCAGTGATGTATAAATTGAGTCCAGGTTTTTCTAAACAACTATAATGTGTCCAAAATATCTGATTATAAAATTACACTATCCTCAATCCATAATCAGAGTTGTACTAAACTAACGATTAATACATTGAAACTTTAATTATAACCAGGGCTCGTAAGTTCATGCACTAAAAAAAGCACAAATAAGCATGCATTCATGCACTCAAAATTGGCAAAATATGCACTAAGAAGTTCGAAAATATGCATTTAAATGCTCTTACATTTTTAAATTATGCACTCAAAATATGCATTATGTAAAATATTTATGAGCAAATTTTAAAATAATAAGAATATATCCATTAATTTTAAAAGTATTTTATTCCTTTTAGTTTTTATATATTTAACAATCAAAATTAATAAAATGAATACTTGTGAAGTTCAAATAATCACATGGATTTGTCATCTTTATTAATTTTAATTAGGTAGTTATTTTTTGTCTAATTTTTGTACACCATTATCCTGCACCTACAATGAAAATATTTGGAATGAAATATTAGTTATTTGACATTTTCACGACTCGTACAGTTAAACAACTCATCGGTGTCTGGCGTGTGCAAGAAAACTATACTGTACCAGTGTACAAAATTGTAGATGCGGATTGGTAAGAAACATTGTGCAGGTGTACATGTTTGTACAGGTATCGTTTCGACGAGGGATTATACACGGCGGAGTATTGTAGTGGTAGCTATAAAATTGTTTCCGCGGTACTAAGTAAAACGCATAAAATCTAAACAGGGAAATACTAGAAAAGTAAGTAGTCACACGAAAATAAAAATAAATCAAAACACTATCATTCAGTAAACGGTAAAGTCAATAAGAAACAAGAAACATTTCAATTATTTTTCTAAACAATTTTTTTATGAAATAATATGCGCTATTAACTCTAAAAAAACGATTATATGCCAATATGCCTTTACACTCAAAACATGCAAAAACATGCACTATTAAACTTCATATTATTATTACTATTGTTATGAAACGGATTTGTATCTCAGTTAGCATATTTTTCTGTGTAGCAAAAAAAACATGCAAATGCATGAACTTACGGGCCCTGATTATAACTGTACAAATTATATATACTTAAATCAACATTTGATGTACCTAGATGTCAAATAAAGCGAAAAAGAAGAATTTTCATGAAGACAAATGATTTAACATAAAAATAATCAAATATGTTTTGATTATATCAAAACGGTCTAATTTTAATTTTTACTGGTCCATAATAGAAATATTTTATAACAACCTAATCATAACAATACTTATATATTTTTTAAATTGAATTGTAATATTTTTATACAATTCGACAAAAAAAAAATATTTAAATTCAATTCAGAATATATTATATAACAAAAAACTATATTTTTACACATACCTATGTAATAACAAAACGATGAAAAACAATAGTTTAATACCTTTAACAGTATAATGTTCAATACTACTATTGGCAGTCTAAAAGGCACATTCAAGCAAATAACGACCTGCCTGCTCTCTGTTTGAACACACCTTATGTATGTATCAAATGAAATAAAAAATAATGTATTTACATCAGACACAATACAGAAAAAAAGGTAGTGATTTGAAAATCTTCGGACACAAAAAAATCTTCACTATTTTAAGAAAAAATCTAAGAAATGTACCTAAATAGATAAAAATAAAATAAATTGAAATGTTTACCTTTAAAATTTAAATTATGTTTTTCAATTACTTCTTGTCTTCTTTCTTTAAGATATTGAAAGAATGGAGGACTAGGTTTCTTTGGTTTCAAAGGTAATTGTATCTTATTTACCACTGATTTTTGAGCAAATCCTATGTTATGAGATTCCAAAACTGGATTTGCACATCTGAGAAAAAATAAATTTGTACTTAATCATACATTTTAAAGAACACAAATTACAATAAAACAAATTAAAACTTTGAAGTAAATTAACCTGTTGATAAACAAATTATTTGAATTGACTAATCGCCAATGATTCGTGAGAAACTGTTTGAAACCCATTTCAAGAAAAAGTAGGTATAATAGCTTTTAAATATTATGATACGGAACACCGACGCATGAGAGTGCGGTTAAAAACCGTTTTCAGAATAAAGTGAATATTGAATAAGTGATTGAACTATTGAAATTTGATCTTTTTGAGATGAATACTGAATACTGAAATACTGAATATAGATTGAAGAACCATAACATAGGTAAATTGTTGTTTTGGTTGAATTTATTAGTTGAATTAATGATACCTATTGAAAATAATCATCATGCATCAATCACCATATGGCAGGCACACAACAATTATTCAATACAAATATATAACCTCAAAATCTATTTTTTTAATGTTATGTTGGCAACAAGTATGAAACCGCAAAGTCCATAGAGCTCATAAGGCCGTGGATAAAATCTTGAACTAAGATAATTTATGGCGGGAATCCAACATTATCAATGATGTATAAATGGATAATACTATAGATCTAGTACATTCTACACATTTTGAGTAAAGGTAAAGTGAAAAGTTCTTATAATCACAAATTATATTATTCTTTTAGTAATTTTATAATAATAACATAATTTATGGCAACAAACGAGAAATACAATATAGAGAAATATACTTAATAAACAAGTTTCAGACTTGTTCAATAAGCGTATTCTTGAATTCGGTTGAGCTGAGTTTATATTAATATTATATTTACATAATAAAAAGACTCCTATAATCATTAGTTTTTGAATTAACAAATAAGTGCCATTAAATAATGTTATACGTTATATAATGGCTTAAATAATAAGTTAAATAATATGTACTGTAATCGGTGACAATGTGGGGCTGGAATTACAAAACAAATCATTTTTATAAACCAATAGTAGGTAAGTACCTATTTACCAACTGCCTATTATTGCTATCTATATAGTATACCAGTTTTGTTTTATTATAATTTATAATAAATTGTATTGTTTTTAATTATGTTTTGACCTACCTAATTACCTTTTTTTGCTTATTTTTTATTATGGTATCGAGGACTGGAGGAGGAACTATGGTGCCAGTACTTCTCCTCCAGCCCCCATCGTTTATTGTCAAAAACAAAAACACACAACAATTAACAACGGCGGGCCAATCCCCCACTCGCTGCTATTACAAACAAAATTGGACTATATGTATAATAAAACGGCGGAGCTCTGCTCTCCCTATTCCCTAATTGTCTTGACTACAAATCAATTTTCAGCTACCAGTGTTCTATGCTGAATTCCGTCGGTTCACAGCCTGTCGCACTCGTTCTTCTTCTTCTTTGACCGAAAGGATGTTTTCCACCATGCCGTAGAATAGCCTGAACCGCTCTTCGGCTTCTCTCAGGATCGCATACTTCCCGTGAGCGTCCGCCGGCGAGAGCTTGAACGCCGGTCCGCAAATGATGTCCGGAACGTCGTCAGTGCTCGGTCGATAGCCAATCCTGGCGCACAGGGCTCCACGAAAGCCGTCCCAATATGGGGGCAATCGAACAGCGTGTGTTCGACGGTGTCTGATTCGCCCGAACACTGCCAGCAACGAGGGCTGGCGACCTACCTAATTACCTAAATATGTACTGAACGAAGAAATTAATTTCGGAAGTCTAGTACTATATCCTTGTTTATGGGACATGAGTTCTAAAGAATACAGCCATAAGAACTTAAAAGAATCATTTTGGATGAAGTAGTATGAATTTTTATACCTTACGAAAGTCATATTTCTTCAGCACGCACGACAAGTCAATTATCTACTAGAACGTCTAGAACTCTACTCATTTTTATTTAAATAATAGTTTATAGATGGACTAATTACTTCAACTGATTAGAAGTATGTATATTTTATTTCAATTATTTATAAATATTATACAAATTAATGAGATATTTTTTTTTTTGAAATGTTGTGTTCAAGAAAATTAATAATTATTGCAATAAATTAGATTTAAATGTGTAATGTTATAGGATTTTGGAGGATATAAGAACGCCTGTGTGCATATATTACACTATTTATATAAAGACAACTGCGAGTATGCGAATATATAAATATATATTTAATAAGAGCGCATTAAGTGATGGGGGGGGGGGGTTACCACTCGGTGAACATTTTTTTTTAAATGCTTATAAAAGAAAATCGTGCCTATGCATTTTGAATATATTTCAACTTCTATTAGAACAATATATCAGGAGCCTTATATTAAACTTTAAAGTTTTTTGACCCAAAAAATAAAATTTTATTGACATTTATAGAAGAAAAACTAAAAAATTGAAAATTGAAAATGTGCTTAAACAGCTCAAAACAAAGTGGTTCCTAAGTGTTTCCTATAACTGGTGACCACATAGAACTTACAAATTACAGGCCAATATCATTTGTTTCAGTAATTTTTAAAGTGCCCTCAAAATTGGCAAAACTTCAACTACAAAAATGTATAGCTAGTAAACATGCAATTTGGATTCCGGGAACATACTGGAAGTGAGGATGGTATAGAATACTTACACTTCACTTGATAGAAATAAATTATCTTTATGTATTTTTCTAGATGTGGCGAAAGCTTTTGATTATTTATTATGATCTAAATTAGAATAAATTATACTAAAAAATATATTTTTAAATTGGTTTAAGTGAGTTGCGTTTTGCACCGAACACGCAACACGTGTGTTTCGCTTTCGCAGTTCGCGAAATAGTGCTGTCTAAGTTATTATAATTGTTTTGTTAATGTTTACAATAATACAATGTAAACCACGGCCGGTCGGACGGATGGGAAGTTTTTATAAGCAAATATATTTTAATTGGGTCACACTCAAACTGACCGAATTGCACAATGTATAAAAATATGGACGTCGGTAAAATTCCGCCGCAAAATATAACAATTGATGCTAGTATTTGGACACAAATACATAACGACAACGTGACCTTGAAACAAATAGTTATGGAATTGCGATTAATCAATGAGAAATTGCAACTTCATATTTCTGACATGATCGCTGGGAGCTCTAAAGGAATTTTGAGCTCACCCAAAAAACCAATCAAAGTGACAAAAGAAGTAGCGAAAACTTTTGTAAAAATTAATAAACCACCTCTAAAAACGGTATGGGGTGTAAATGATTTTAAACAATTAATGATTAATTTAAAACTTGAAGAAGCTGAGGGACACGAGCAACAAATGAAAACTTTGGCCAATGGTGAAATTAAGATACTAACAGGCGACGAACACCAGTTTGGACAAACTATAAAAGTATCACAGATACCAACTTAAAATAGAAAAAGTTTCGGGCGGTGATTACACCCTGAAACTGACCCCCGTGACATTAAATGTGAATTATTATCCGAATTAGGACATCTTGTATATAATGTTGAACATTCAAACTAATTAAAAAGTCGATCCTAACAACAAGTTTAGTGATCTAACTATTGTAAGGCTTCCATTATTCTTCGAGGATTTGGAGCCACAAGCAAACAACAAAGACATTTGTGATATTAAAAAATTATGCTATCATATAATAAAAGTGGAATTTCCAAGGAAAAAAAAAAGAAGTGCCACAATGTAAAAATTGTCAACTATTTGGTCACACTCAAAACTATTGTTTCATAACACCAAAGTGTGTAAGATGTAGTGAAGGTCACACTTCACTAAATTTCCATAGCTAAGTCTAAGAAATCAAAGGCGAAATGCGCAAACTGTGGTGAAGGACACACCGCAAATTGAAAAGGGATGCATCACATATAAAAATGCAATAGAAAAAGCTCAACCAAAAAAAACTACAGCAGTACAAAGAATACTACAAAAGCCAGTCACTCGAGAAGTTTCTTTTGCACAGATGGCTAGTTCTTCGAACGAAAATCAAAAGGGTCCACTGACTCAAACTTATACACAACAAAATAAAAATGTACCGTTGCTATCTGACGTGATTAACCAAATTAAATGAGAGATTGGACAGGCTTGGAAATAGCCAGCCGTAATACAACGCTGTCAAAACATAGCTCTTCGGACCATCACTGCAGCCTACCACCGGTTCGAAAGAAACAACGCAATTCACCTTGATATGATGCTGCCTACAGTAGCAGACGAAATCCAAAGGTTTGCTCGCAAACACGAGACGAGGCTAGATCACCATGTCAATTCATTGGCCATCCAATTATTAGATAACTATAACTCCAAGGACATCAGACGTCTTAAATGTCTTAAACCATATGACTTAGTTTAAAATTTTGGATTAAGGCAGGAACCACTTCATTGGAAGTGACTCCATCATCGTGTAAAATATATATAATTCATATCTAGAATGTAAAGTATATATAATAGTTAAACATATTTGTAAAGACCTTTGGGTCGTTTAAATAATAAACTCCTAGGACATTTAAAAAAAAAAATTGTTTAAGTCTTATCTCTATAATAGATCTCAAATAGTAAAAATCGATGAATCATCAAGTGACCCACATATTTTAAAATTCGGTATCCAACAAGAAACAGTTTTAGGTCCTAATAATGTATGTAAACTAATTGAATTAGATACAAATGGAAAATATATAATAACTTTTGCTGATAACACAGTCCTATTTATTGAAGGTAGCAATTGGAATAAAATATAGAGTAAAGCAAATTTGGGGATTTCAATGATTCGGGATGGATATTCGAATAATTATTTATCTTTAATTTGTATAAAATCAGTATTTATCCCTTTCTCCATAACCAACATTAATTCAATAAAAAAAATAGTAATAAAATTACACTCTTGCGAATGTGATACTAATAATGAATCAGTATACTGTCAAAAAAGTTGTCAAGAATTAAATAGAGTAAAATCAACAAAATATTTGGGAGTTATATTCGATGACCAATTAAAATGGAAAATTTATACTGGATCAGTAATAACACGCATTATAAAATGCTCTTATATTTTTAAAGAATTACGTAGTATACTCGATATCAATAATATTAAAATCATTTATTGTGCTATAGTACAATCAATACTGGCATATGGAATTATAATATAGGGATCCGCCTATAGGAATGGTCTCAAGCTATTAAATGTAGTGCATAGAACACTAGTTCTAAAAATGTTAAGACAAGATTATATTGAGGGTAATTGTACTAATGATTTGTTTAAAAAACTTAAGATATTAAACATAGAATAAGTATATAATAAATAATCAACAACTAAAATATACATGATGAAAAATCAAATTATAATACACACAATAAAAATAGCTCTATTACACTCAAAATATGAATAACGGTAATCTAATATTATA